AAACAGGCTTCCAGAGCTACGGCTAGGTGACACGTATTGTCTGCGCGTCTCCACATACTTTCAATGGAGTGAAGACCTAGACCTAGCTCTAGACAACAGATTCGGATGCAGCCTATGATGAGAGTAATGTTACTGTTAATACTGTGAAATTCTAAAATTACACTGATACCATGTAGGCCTACTGTGATTTGGGGCTTGTGCATTTTTCTACAGCGCCATAGTCACACTTTTACTCTCGAGTGCCTGCTCACGTCGAGCAATTATTCCCTTCTTGGGCTGCGTTTGCATGTGTCTAATGTCTGGTAGTGTATTGACCTATCTTCCGCCTTGCATGAACCACGTCATACACTCATCACCGCTTGATCAGGAGTGTAATTTTGCTTATATGCGCGCAAGTTATACTCCTGCCGTTTCTAAACTAAGGAGAATACCATGAAGAATTTCTGAACTCTTACCTAAAAGACTCAGAAACTTGTAATGGCTTCCACCAATGAACGAGTCCATTATTAAAATTTCCTTGCCGTCTGCAGTTGACAGGTGTGCGAAGATCATTACGACCGCCAGGTAGATTACTACTAGATGTTTCATGATTTTCTCGGAAGAGCACCCAATAACGCTAGCTGTCACAGGGAATGTACAAGATATTATAGGATTAGCTGATCTCTTTAATAGGAGTGGCGGGGATTCGACGGGGACAGCACATTTTGCAAATAGAACCAAAATGCCAGGAAAGATTTCTGTCGAAATAAAGGTCCCAGGCAGCAAGATAATAACATTCATATCTGTTGTAATACAAACTCATCTTGCTGGTATATATGCCTACTGTTTCTTTTAATGACTGATTTCTATTCAAGAGAGGCTTTGCGTGGCTGCGATCTTGCAGGGCAGTTTCTTTGTTCCACAGGGAAACTTCCTTATGCACACCCCGTGCAACAAAAGAACTGGCGTGGAGGCAGTAGTAATGCAAACCCTTTATTTGATATTCTGTGATGTTCAATGTTTGGCAGCCACGCAGTCACCAGAATCGACTTCCGTTCTCAATTTCAAGCAAATTGTTTGCCATTATGCGACTGTTGATGACATTTTTGAGTGAGGAAACAGTATAACGCATCAATTGCCTTTGTCTTGCTAAGACCACGCCTGAATTGAATTGGATATTTTTGTTATTTTTGAAATCTTACGATTTATTTAATATAAAACACAATTCAAAGTAAACTTACCCTGTGCTGCTGACCAACTCGATCTTGTGTACTTCGTATTTCTGCAATACCCGCAGCGTGCAGCAGTGCTAACGCTAATCACACACCTCGCTGCTTTATTATGCCCAATAACACCAAACTAACACTCTCGGTGGCAAGCAATACTGTGGTGTTGTGCACGGTGCGCGCGCTGGTCATGCCGTACCAGCATGTTGACATAATAATCCAACTTCGCTCGTCGTTCAGCGCCCGAACAGGGCGATGGGAAGGTTTGATAATTGCACAGATTTTTGTGAAGGAAATACGTTACACGCAGTCACAGCTAATGACACGCAGAGAATTGCGGGTAAATTTCTGCCAAGC